ATGGAAGCAGTTAACAGAAACAGTCCTTGGAATTTTGAGGAAATAAAAAATGTATAGTGATGAAAGAATGCGGAGGTAAATTTGTCAATCATCGAAATATCATACAGGAACAGTTGAATCTATGTTCCTTTTTACTTTTTTTGGGGGGCTTGTGGCAATGATTTGATAGGATTCAGCTATAAACTCAAGCGTGTTGCCCGCTGTTTTAGGCATGCTGGGAATTGTTTATGGAAGCAAACGTGGGTGATGCGGGTGGTCGTTATTGTGCTGTGGCAGCATAGTTGGTTTTGAATCAAATTTCCGCCAATTTAGAAGTTAATGATACTCAGTGCGGAGAATGGCTCGTTTCGAAACAATACTATAGTAGTAGATTGTGAACGTATTATATTGTTAGAGGGTATTTGTACATTGCCATACATCACTGTTGCTGTTACCGTTTTACTGTTGAAGATGCCGCCCAAATTCGACCCGAATGAGATTAAAATCGGTATCGTTTTTACGGAATTTCATTTATCATTCGAATGTTTAGTGTTAATCGGGACTGAACGAAAATTACTTGTTGTGAGCGTTGATTTATTAGTTCGGAAATAAGTTTTTGTGACTTGAAAATGTCGAAGTTTTCGACAATTCTGCTGGTTTTTGTCATTTATTTGGTCGTTATGAAATGGATCATCTTTTGGTATAAGGAGGTTTTGATTTTAGCTGCCGTGAAGAATTGGCAAGTAGCTTATTAATCACTTTATTTTTAGTATATTTACGATGTGTTGGTGGTGAAGTTGGTGCTACATCAGCCTTAGCCCCTAAAGTCGGTCCACTCGGATTGGTAAGCGCTAAGTCCCATTCCGATATCTTCCAACTTTCCGTGCACAGTGTTTTTTGTCAAACATGGATTTTTTGTACCTGTTTATCAAATCGTAATCNAAAGAAACATTGAATGATCAATTTATTTCTGTTATTTAATATTTACGTTCTGGTTCGATGTATTAGTAAAACCACAAAGTAATCAATTTGCAGTCACCAAAAAAGATCGGTGACGATATCGCAAAGGCAACCGCAGACTGGAAGGGACTTAAGGTGACGTGCAAATTAACGATTCAGAATCGTGTTGCCAAGATCGACGTTGTACCGTCAGCCGCATCGTTGATCATAAAAGAACTGAAGGAGCCACCTCGTGATCGCAAAAAAGTCAAGAATGGTATGCGCATAACGGGTTTCAACGATCATATATGTGTATCTAGGCGGAGGGTCGGGTGACCAACGCAAGGTCCCCATCCCCCGGTCTCTTATAGTATCTAAACAGCTAGAGAGACTGGCAACCCGATAATAGGGAAATCGAGCATTATTGACACGGTAAGCGCTCTTAGTGACGAAAACTGTAGCGGGGTAGAGAGTTGAGGGGGAGGTTGCAAGTCGGTGTGTTGAGGCGTAGTTCATCCAGTATTACATATAACGTATGATGGTTACGTAATTAAAGGTGGTGTTAATGAAGTGATGTGCTTTCAGTGAAGCATTCAGCTGATTTATCCATCGATCAGATTATTAATATCGCTAGGCAGATGCGTCCACGTTCCATGGCGAAGAAGCTCGAAGGCACCGTGAAGGAAATACTCGGTAGGTTTATAAATNAGCTAACAATGTATCGGAAAATCTTTATTTCGATTTGATTTGGTAACCTTTCGCTAGTATTTTATAACCTAAAATGACTGATCAATTGCCTAATTCAAGGAACGGCTCAATCAGTGGGCTGCACTGTGAACGGTCAGCACCCACACGATGTGGTTGATGCGATAAGGAGTGGTGAGATCGTGATACCTGAAGATTGAGTGATTTGATGAAAAATTATTGTTGTTATTCGTTGTTGATTTTGTGAATTGAAGATTATGTTTATCTGTTTTCTTCCGCATTATTCTGCGCTACACTCTCATGTACCACACTCAATTTCAATAAAATGTTGTTCATCGTAACTTTGTTGTGGTGCACACGCTATTTCAGTTCTATTGAGTGATCTTTATTCGTAGATTTCATTGTCATTTTGTTCATCAGATTATGTATACGGACACATTACGGTTGCTTTTTGTGTATAAAATTATATCAAAGACATCGTTAGTATCTCAAGGTTATCGTTAACACAGCAATATCACTGATATAATGATTTTTTATTCCAGTTNCAGTATCTTTGATGCAATGAATGAATTTTTATTCCTGTTTCATGCCAGTTAGCAACATGCGTGTGTCGAGCAATTTTGTCAGTTCGCGTTCGCTACACAAATTCGACTTGTTTCCTCTTTTTTTTTTACATTTTCGTCATCTTTAAAACTTCACATTCACCTGTTTTCAGCTTTTCAATTTCTGTTTACTTCGTTCACAAACTTCACTGTTAAATAAATGCAAATTTTTTAGATTATGTCTTGAATGCTGATTACCAAATCTGCTTTCCCTTGTCGCATCAACTAGGCATGCTTAAATTTGTCAACCTTTCGCGAATTCAGAGCATGTTATGAGGATGAGAACACCTTTTAATGAGGTTCAAAAGAACACGAACAGTGCTTGTGATATAAGCATGTGAATTGTGCTTTATTCAACAGATACGTCTCGTAATAATCCAGTTTCCATCTCATACTTGAGTAATCATGCTCGAATGCTTGCATAAATTTCCCAAAAAACTGCTCTTCTACAACTCTATGATAATATTGGTTCCAAGTTCAAAAATTTTCCCCTCTTGAGATGGATTCATGATGAAACTAGATTAGCGATTTAGAATCGACCTTTTGAAATAGTGTTATAAATTGATTTAGTGGTGTTTTGT